TTTTCCTCTCTCACAATATTTTGATTTTTAAGGTTTATTAATGAGTGTAGAAGATCACGTTTAAACGGTTGATACCATACTGTTCATTTTTAGTGCCCTTGAATATTGGTGAGAGGTATATACATATAATTCAATCTTTCTTTTTTTCTTAATTTTTTTTTTATTTTTTGAGTTTTTTTAATCCGTATATCTACTATATCTATGATATTTATAGAAGAATGGATATGTAAGAAACTTTTTTAACTTTTTTATTACCCTTCAATTTTTATTCAACATATACATGCCCTTAATTTATCGGTAGGTTTTGTTTTTATTCTTTTTTTTTTCTTTTGAAATCATATTCCAATTTGGTGGGTTTGTTTTGGTTTTTTGATTTTTGATTTTTTTTATTTTACAATTGTATTTCCATTTTTATTCCATGTGTATCCTTAATTTAGTACTAATCTATAGGCGTAAGTTTTGGTGTGATATTTATATTTTTTTAATATTTATTTTTATTATCATTTAATAATATTTGTTCATGTTTAGCGGCATATTTGTATACACACATATACATAATTCTATATTTCTTCTCGTTCTTAATAATATCTTTTTACTTTTACTTCTTAAAATATATATATATATATATATATATATATATATATCTTTTTATTTTTAAGTTTAATTATTTAGTGTAGAAGATCACGTTTCAAATTTTTTATATCAATATTGTTTGGTGACTTTGAACATTTGGTAATAGGTAAATATGTACACACACATAATTTAACCTTTATTCTTCTTTTTTATTCCTTTTTCTTTTTTCTTTTTTTTTTTTACTTTTTCCTCTCACGATTTTTATTTTTAAAGTTTCTTCATTGGTGTAGTAGATCACATTCCAATTTTTCGAAGTAATATTGTTTAGCGGTCTTGAACATTAACCAAAGATATATATATCCAAAATTAAGTTTGTTTATGCAGGAATCTGCACAACGGTTCTTCACGAATCGAGCTCGAACCCGGTCTCCGGTTCCGACCTGAACGCTAGAGTGGACCTGCACAAGAGGGTAAACACTCCGACGCTCAAGTCAGTATAGATCAGACTCTTTATGTAGTTCGAGGTGAGATTCGATACCTGAGCGTGAAATAAACTCCTCTATTTATAGGTAGTGGATCCGACAATACACACGACCGGCGGTTACATGTCTTTTTCTCATATCGGGCCTGTCGGGTTCCGAGCAGGTCGGACCCTAGTCAGGTCGAACTTTGGTGCCCACACTTAGTCTTTTACAGTGAGCAAACTTGGTCTCCTCGGTAGGGCCGAGGTGGACCTAGGCAATCTTTTTCATTCGGTTTCTTTAAACACAAATAAGGATCCTCCACGTGCCCCGGGTGTGTTTACCCCCAAACAGTGGCCCCCTCTCTGTCAGGTTCGATCTCGACCTGGCAGAGAAGTTTATTCAAATCTATTTCGGACACGTGGCGACTTTCCATTTGCAGAGGGAATATGACCGTTGCGGAATATGTTTCGACCTGCCAGGTTGTCGGAGCACTCAAGCGTTTCGCCGTTGCGCATCCCGAGAAGATCCCAGCCGCTCGTTRATTACACGTGTAYGACGCGGAGGTTTTTTCGATCAACTATAAATAGTCCCGAAGCTTCAGGTCAAACCCTAYGTTCCCTGAATTTCTGGAGTTCGATCTGAAACCAGCTCGAACCCTTTCTCTAGGTCAGTCRTTTCTCCCTTCTCTTTACTCTTCTTTCAAACATGGTAGTTTTCTTGTCTTCCCCCTCTAGTAGCGATAGCCTGGGTAGTGTAGGTCGRACGATAAGTAGCTCGYCCCCCAAACCAAGTGACTYTGAGGAGGTCTTAGCTCGTAGGTTAGAGWCCGAGCTTGAAGAAATAGAGAACTTTAGGTTCTSAGATGATKGAGAGGATAGTGACACCTCTACCTYGGGCYAGKGTCTGGAGTACCCTTCTAGGATGCCCGAGYATTATCTTGGACCCCTTCGTAGGGGGTTTAACATTYCGACCGACATCCTCCTTAGGATTCCGGAGGAAGGGGAAAGAGCTGACAATCCCCCAGAGGGATGGGTCACTCTTWATTTRAAAATGTTTGAGTACGGCCTCAGACTTCCTYTTCACCCCTTTGCCCAGGAGTTCTTAAACCGAACTGGACTGGCYCCTGCTCAAGTGGCCMCCAATGGGTGGGGTGTCATTTTTGCTTTAGCCATTCTTTTTTGGATGCGAGCTCGGGATGAAGACGAGGCCGAGCTGCTAAGTGTTGATCAGCTCCTTGGGTGTTTTGAGGCTAAGAGGATAGCCAAAAAACCTGGTCGGTACTATATGTGCGCGAGGAAGGGCGCGGGCGGTATAGTCAGAGGGCCGACCTCCATCAAGGGATGGGTAGGAAAATGGTTCTTTGCCTCGGGTGAGTGGCTGGCAAAGGACGAGTCAGGTCGTCCCTTCTTTGAAGTGCTTGCTAGGTTTGGGAACCTAGGTATGGAGTCTTTCTTGTTTTTCTTTTTTCTTTCAGCTTTTTAATATTCGCATCTAACTCGAACTTCTTTGTTTACTTTGTGCAGTGTCGATCAAGCCGAT